TGCATGGCTTACATTTATTAATTGCACCAATCTCTAGTAAATCCCGAATTGATATGTTCATTAACCGAGTTACCTCTGGTGAGAGGATTTGTGTTGGTGGCTTTATTTGAAGAGGAGTTCTTACAAATGGTATTTTGTATCCCTGTATCCAAGATAAGATTATTTTGTTAGAGGTCACCCCCTGCCACATTGGGTTAAAAAAATTGTAAACTTCCGGCTTGATGTTTTTTACTTACCTCTATTTGTTTTGGTATTTGCTCTGATTGTAATGCTGAACTCTCGAGGTTTGCCCTTTTTGTGGCCTCACTTCCCTCTGCTGGCGGGCCGGGCGTCTCTTGTTTAACGCTGTGCCAGAATAATTGTTGTAGTAGTGAGATTGTCTCACTCCCCCTCCTTTTGAACTATTATATTTTCTGGCAAAATTCTGATAATTTGCAGCAGATGTAGTAGGTTGGTCAAGCTTCAATTCCTTACTAGCTCTTTCTAAATATTTCATATTTTTTAATTTTTCTCCTAATTCGTCACCGAAAAGGTGTTCTGTGGGGGAAATTTTTTCTGCCATTTCTTTGACAGGTTTACTTAAACTAGGCATTATTAATGCCCGTCTAATGTTTGTAATATCATACATTAAATGTGACAAAATTCTGCCTGAATCTCCTAGGTATTCCAAAAGCTTACTCTTTTTTTCCCTGGGAATATTTTCCTTATCCTCCAGAACTTCGTTTAGGCCTTTTGCCAACGCCGATATACCCGTGCATATTTGAGACTGAATGTCTATATATGCGTTGTCTCGTTTGGACATTGTGACTGATAATATATGTTTAATTTCGGGGTTTACCTTTGGAGGGTTGAGGGAACTGCAATTGCTAGGTAACGGATAGCGCACTGTCAACTTTTCTTTTTCGGATAGTATCAGTCCGTTTTTAATAATGTGGCCCCAACGGCTGCACAAAGCGGGGTGCATCACGAAATCTGATTTTTTGTGTTTTTCTGGGTCGTCGCCCAGTATTTCTAGAAACTCGACCGGTATATCTTCATTATTGTGAAGTTGTAAAATCGGAGAATTTTCTCCTGTCTCTGATGTGTTACCTATTTGATCTGACTCGTCGAGTTTTTCACCTAAACCCAACTCAATATTATTTGATGTCATATCGCACGGACTATGATCATCTATTATAGATAAAATGCTTGTCGAGTCGTGCGAGGCTCGATCTGCATTATTTTTACGAGACCCCGTATCGCCAGGATGACGGTGATTGCTGCTTAAAGCCTGCCGTTTTCTATTACTTGTAGGTGCTTGTTCTAATGATCTTGAACGACTTCTGCTATCCCTGTGGTGAGATTCCGAGCCGCTCGGGCTGCGATAATCTCTACTACGTTTGTTGTTGCGTGTGTTATGACTGGTGCGAGAGCGAGAGCGTTCTCTACTCTTAGGACGTGACCTACCTCTATGACGGCTTTTGACGTTTCGATATTTACTTTCCAATTTTTCAAGTCTCTTTAAGAGATCTTTCTTTGAAATGTTTTTCTCGTAGTTATTTGAGTCCGACATTACTAAAAAACCTGTAATAAAACTTAATGGCTGCCCAGTATTAATATACTTACTAAGTTTGACGTGGCGACGAACCTTATGTCAGGAGCACAAAGCGACGAATGAGAACAGTAGGGCGCAGTAGGCTGATGTAGGTAGGTGGGGAAAGGGAATTTTAATCTTTAAACCTTGTGCACTAGGAGTACGATAGAGGCGTACTACGTGGTAAAATAAGTGATATTGAGGATTGGACACCGACACATAATTCTTATTTAATTTTAGTTTTGTACACGCACTGCTATTATTATATTTTATCTATAGTGCACCCTGTAACTTGTATTGTTTATCAATATGTTGGGTTGCCAAATCTGTAAATAAATAAATAAATAAATAAATAATTAAGTCCAGGAATGTAATATAAAATATTTGAAACAAACGACTGTGCCTTTAAAGTAAAATATTTATAATCTTAAATAGGAATATGACTGAAAAATAATAATTCGCTTACAATTAAAATTAAATGAAGAAAGCAACAATTTTTGAGGTGTATCATGAGGCGTATAATAGGACTTCCAGTATTTATCATTTGTGATTGTTTGATCATTTAGAATCATTTTGACTTTTTTTTTTTGGAGACGGTCTCTGATTTACGACCAAGCTCGCCAGGTTAATATTTGACGTATAACCGACCACTTCGTACACTCGATGCACCTGAGCGACTACAGCTACTACCAGAAGACGTATGAAGTGGTATTTCAGATTATACATTCAATTTCATTTTAAATTTGAAATAGTTCATCCTACACTTCCTAAAAATGATGACAGGGTTTTCCTTTGATAAAAGACCTATAATTTTTTGCTCTACTTTGCATGGAATGCGTTCCTACTATAGTGATTTGTATATTTTTCTCAATTTATCCCGATTGATATTAGGCATTACAGTGTCTGTGGTAGACAATCAACATATTTTATTCCTTTGCTATTGAATTAAAGACAAAATAGTGTTCTTATGTCGGCAGGTTCAGAAATGTGTAATTTTTATATATCCTATATTATATCTCAATGTAATAGTTTTCTTTGCTATGAAAATAGGCTATTAAGGATTTTATGTTCTATGCACAATTCTCCTTCCTTCTACTTTTCTATTTAAAGTTATTCTCTATTTACATGAGCTGTACTGTAATTTCCTATTTTTTTACTAATTATATTGTGGTTAATATGTAATATTTCCTGTCTGTTTTGGACCATTTTACTACACCAATGAAATAGGTAAGGATCGAAAGGACGAAGGCCCAAATATATTTAAACAGATTTTCAAGTTATGTTTTGACTTAAGAACCAGGCTCAATCTCTTTTTGTACTGTTGTTGACCAGAGACCAGAGTTTTGTTGTGGCATGGTCCGATTTGTTATTTATTTTTTTTATTAAATCCTACATATTTATATGATATACCTATGATGTTCCAGCTGAGGCACATTCCCATTGTTTAGTTCTTGCTTGGTTTGTCTATTTAACCAATTTTCTCTTATATGTAATATTTTACATTTACTTATTTCTAGCTCCATCATTATTTGTTAATTTTAAGAAAATTTTAGAGTTAATTACAATTAGTTTAATACTTTCTTTTATAGTAAAATAGCAAGTTACTATAATTTAGTCAGTTCATTTCCCATAAATCACATCTGAAATACTTCATAGATGATGATCACCTTGTATACAGGGTGTCCCGCATAAGAACTGCCACAGGGCAGGTGCATGTTGGGGTTGTCCAAAATTTTGTAATTTATCCAAACTTACCTATATACAAAGTTGCACCCCTGAGGAGTTATTAGCCCCCAAAGTGGGGCCCTAAATTTCGAAAAAAATTAATATCTGCAACACTTTACCGTAGAGCCAAATTTGGTACATGATTTGGGTATATTACTGGTCTTCTTTGACTATGATTTAAAGTTAATTGAAGCACTACGAGGTGTTCATTGGGGATGACTCACCAATAAAATTGTACCGAACTTTTTTTTCATTGTCAGAATTGAAAAATAATAATATTAATTACAGCAGAATTTAATTTTGAATTTTTTTTACTCTTGTTAAATTTTAAAAAACTTTTCAAGAAAAACCGTATCAACTGAAACAAGATTTTAACAGTATTTATTAGAAATAATCGAAAAGTCAGTAGTAGGCAATGAATTTACCTTTCAAACTTGTCAGTTAGTAATAAAATTATTTTATTTCAACAATTACCTCTGATTGTTGTTGAAAAAATATTAATTATTATTTTTATTATTTATTTGTGTTTTTTACTTAATACTTAACTTTAAATCATAGTCAAAGAAAACCAGTAATAAACCTAAATCTTGTACCAAATTTGGTTCTTCTACTGCAGAGATATTAATTTTTTTCGAAATTTAGGGCCCCACTTTGGGGGCTAATAACTCTTCAGAGGTGCAACTTTGTATATAGGTTAAGTTTGGTTAAATTACAATATTTTGGACACCCCTACATGCACTTGCCCTGCGTCGCTTCCTATGCAGGACACCCTATATAGTCACTAAAATGCCTATTAAGCCGAAGGATAATTAAAAGATATATTTTAGTCCCTAGAGGTATACTATATTCGAGGTCTCCCAAATTCTTCACATTCATGAGAACCAAATATTTATCACCTTCAAAGTCGGTTTAAGGTACCTATTCGGTTTCCGTTTAACCAAATTTATTTGTCAAAAAGCTGCCATCAATTTGCCGTCCCCCGGGGCCATAAAAATTCCTGCGAACGCATCAATAAACCAAGGGAAATAAAAATTCTTGGGTTTAGGTATTAAACCCCGCTCTACCTCATTTCCCATAACTGTGTTCGAATTCGTAAAACAACGACCTACGAGGGTGGTCTGAAAAGTTTCCGATCTAAGAAAGATACAAGACATTTTTTTTTTAATTTTTCAACATAGTCTTGTAACTCTACACACTTCTCCCAGCGATGCTCCCATCTCTGTAACCCGTCCAAATAGTACTCGGCGTTTTTCTCTGCAAAATACGAGGGCGGGTCAATAAGTCCATGACTTTTTGAATGAAACACAGGTTTTTATATAAAAAGTTATTTTATTTTTCAACATTGTTTCTTTTGAGTTCTATACACTTAGTCCAACGTTTCTCCAATTTTTTTATCCCTTCCGAAAAATATGATTTGTCAAGGTCATCAAAATAGGCATTTGTTTGTGAGATGATTTCGTCGTTGGAGTCAAATCTCTTTCCGCCGAGACATTTCTTCAAGTTGGGAAGAAATAGTCACTCGGGGCTAAATCTGGAGAATAGGGCGGATGAGGGAGCAATTCGTAGCCCAATTCACGGATTTTTGCCATGGAAACTGCACGTGTGTGCACTCTTGCATTGTCTTGGTGGAAAAGAACTTTTTTCTTGGCCAAATGCAGTCGTTTTTTTTTCAATTCCTCATTGAATCGACCCAATAAGTTGGTTAATATTCGCCATTGATTGTTTTCCCCTTTTGAAGGTAGTCAATGTGGATTATACCGCGTGCATCCCAAAAAACGGTCTCCATGACTTTATTGGCTGACAAACCCACCTTTGCCTTCTTTGGCGCCGATTCACCCCGAGAAACCCACTGTTTTGACTGCTGTTTGGTCTCCGGTGTGTTGTGGTGGATCCATGTTTCGTCCACGGTTACGAAACGGCGCAAAAACTCGTCCATATTGCGGTTGAACAACGCCAAACATTCTTGCGAGATTGTCACACGGTTGCGTTTGTGGTTGATTGTGAGCAAACGCGGCACCCATCTTGCGGAAAGCTTTCTCATACCCAAGTGATCATTCAAAATTGAAACCACTGAGCCATGTGAGATGCCTATGGCTTCAACAATCTCTCTCACTTTCAATCTCCGATCGGCTAAAACCATATCGTGAATTTTTTCAATTGATTCGGATGTAGAGACCTCAACTGGGCGTCCAGAACGTTCGGCATCTTCCGTGCTTGTACGGACACATCGAAATTCAGTAAACCACTTCTTTGCCATGGAAATGGATGGTTCAGAGTCCCCATAATATTTATCAAGCTTAGCCTTGGTTTGAGTGATGGTTTTTTTCCGCAAAAAATAATTCTTAATGAGCACACGAAATTCACTTTTTTCCATTTTCTTCTCAAAACGCGCGGTAGTCTGCTATCAACGGCTGCCAAACACAAACTAAATGACGCAGCTTGTTCAAATTTAGACAGGAGAAAACTGACAGTTGCCTGTTGACAGGAGTAGTGTTGCCATTTCAATTAAGAGGCGGGAAATTTAAAAAGTCACGGACTTATTGACCCGCCCTCGTAATTGTTCACGAAGGTGATTGCCTCTTCATTTGACGAAAATCTCTGTCCTCCGAGCGCAATTTTTAGATGAGGGAACAGAAAGAAGTCGCTTGGGGCTAGATCTGGTGAGTAAGGCGGATGGTCAAGCAGTTCAAACCGTAATTCGTGGATTTTCGCCATGGCAACCGCGTTGTCTCGGTGAAACAGGATTTTATTTTTCTGCAAATGTGGCCGTTTTTCCGCAAGTTCTGCCTTCAGCAGCTCAATGATGCGTAGTATGCTCCTGTAATGGTTTTTCCTTTTTGAAGATAATCGATTAAAATAACAGTCGTCATCACTTTCCCAGCCGAAAAAACAATTTTTGCTTTTTTGGAGCCGGTTCCCCCTTTGCAGTCCACTGTTTGGACTGTATTTTTGTTTCGGGCATATAATGGTGTATCCAAGTTTCATCTACAGTAATTAATCGGCGTCAAAACTCGGATTTATTGCGCCTAAACTGCGCCAACAGAGCGTTGGAAATGTTCATTCGAACACGTTTTTGGTCTAACGTGAGCAAACGCGGCACCCAACGCGCGGACGGCTTTCTCATGTTTAAATGTTGATTTAATATGTGACAAACACGTTCTTTTGACATGTTCATAACCTCTGGTATCTCTCTCACTTTAATTCATCTCACCATTCATCCAAGTCATCTAGCACCATTTCCTCGGTAGTTGCAGTTTTTGGACGTCCCGAACGTTCATCGTCTCCCAAGCTCTTACGGCTACGTTTAAATCCAGCTGCCCAAAATTCCACTGCGGTAAATGATGGTGCAGAGTCCACAGACACAGAATCCAACTCATCTTTGATTTGCGTAGGCGTATTGCCTTTCAAAAACAAATATTTAATGACAGCTCGATACTCGATTTTGTCCATTTTCATAAAGACACTCACATCAACTCACTCAAACGACTGTTACACAACAACTGCGCGTCCAAAATAACTGAAACTTTGGTGAGTAACTGTCAACAGATGAACAACGAAATTCATTAGCTTTTATTTACGAGTGCTGCCATCTTCATGTTGAGGTCGGGAACTTTTCAGACCACCCTCGTATTTTCAAGCTTCAGTGCAATTAAAGAAATAAGACGTACGATAGAATTTACGGATATTTAACTGCAAAAGTAGCAGCAGTTCTATTAAACCAATTAAATCAGAATCGGAAAAATCGTTAATATATTTTCGAATTTTACAGGATCTTTTATGAAAAATCATATTAAAACAAACAGGATATCTGTTCCGATTGTTTAATGTTTACAGAAGCATAAACATTTTCAGGTTTCAGGACAGTTTGTTTAATTTCAAATTAAACTGGATGTGACTCACGCTCGTAGCTAATTGTAGGAATCCGAATGACATTGATATGCATACAAGTTGAGAGAACAGATGTGGGTGGAATCTGACAAATTATTTATAGAAGCTCTCTATTGTAATGTTCAGCCCATTTCGAATCATATAAACTTTTACAGACGAAAAAAGATTTGAGAAAAAGTGTGGCTATTATAACTCAGAAATACCATTCCATTTACTCACTGACTATATTAATAAAAAATGTTTCACTCCAATCTCTAAGAGGGAATGATTAAATAGCAAAAATCCTTTAAAAATATTATTACTATAGTACCTATATAGGGTGAGTAATTAATAATGGTACACAGCTTAATGGCAGATTGTTGGCTTCAAAACAGCGATTGAGCCAAACATGCGTTAGTCAATTGTTGCTCCTTTTCGTTCTACAGGGTGTTAAAGTTAAAAAAATATTTTAGATTTTTTGCTATATTTTAAGTATGTATGGACCGATTGTTTTGAAAATTTGTAGTTTAACATTTGTTGAGGTGGCAAATACGAATATGCAAATAGTGTTGGGGTCACGTCTAGGGGGTGCTAATTATGGGTGCTGTCCTATCGATGTAAAAATATGTCTAACTTTTTGTATTTTACGATTTTGATTTTTTTTAACTAGGAATTATTGAACTACGTACAATTTTAAAGAAAAAAGGTATCCTTCTTAGAAATCGATAAACTAAACCGTTTTCGAGATACAGACGTTTTAAGTTTTTGAGATTAGGCGAGAATTAAATTAGAAAATTAGCAGGTATAAGATACCAAGCCTGAATTAAGAAATAAAACAAACATTACAACAACTGAAAATTTTATTATGCATATCTTAACAAATTATTAATCATCAAAGATTCTCAAAGCAACCACCAGCGACATCCATGCACTTATTTAAATTTTGTCTGATGTTAAATAAAGTTCTATGTTGTTTGATAATATGAACTGTTTCTTGAATATTTGTCCATAGTTCATCTTGACTATCAATAATGTCTTTGTAAATTAGAGATTTAAGAAAAGAAAAATCCAGCGGATTTAAATCAGGGCTACGTGCAGGCCAAGGTACATACTTCGTTACCGCGTCCAATCCGATAAATGCGATAAATTCCTATTAGGATATCCTCTTACTTCTCGAGTATAATGTGCTGTCAATTTATTATGTCAATGCCTACTACTTTGGAAGAAAATACTTTTTTAATTTAATTCCCATCTAATCTCAAAAACTTAAAATGTCTGCAGCTCGAAAACGGTTGAGTTTATCGATTTGTAACAAGTATACTTTTTATTGAATTATTGAAGGCAGTTCAATAATTTTTAGTTAAAAAATTCAAAATTGTAGACGTGACCCCAACACTGTTTGCTATCCGTATTTGCCACCTCAAAGAACGTAAAACTATAAATTTTCAAAACAATCGGTCCATACATACTTAAAAATATAGCAAAATATTGAAAATATTTTTTCAACTTTAACAGCCTGTAGAACGAAAAGAAGCAACAATTGACTAAGGCATGTTTGGTTCAATCACTATATTTTGACGTTAACAATCTACCATTAAGCTGCGTACCATTATTAATGATTCACCCTGTTTGCATCTTCGAATTACACTTCTAGCTACATTTAATTTAACGTTATGTGCAATATTATTTATTGCAAAACTAATTCTGTCTTTTAACTGATCAATATTATTTGGAGGTATTAGATAAACTTCGTTTTTTCCGAAACCCCCACAAAAGAAATCAACTGGATTAATATCTGGGGATCGTGGCGGCCAATGTATGGATCCTCTTGTACCAATCCAGCGGTCTTCAAATGTAGCCTTCAAATAATTTATGTTTATTTGGGCATTATGTGGAGGCGCAACGTCTGTTGGAAGATAATATGGGCACACTCATTAATTGTTATTTGTCCCAAATACTCTTGTAGCTGATCGCTCAAAAAATTGTTATTCGGTTCACCAGTTAAAGAACCATGAAAGAAGTATGGCCCTAATATTATTGAACCACACATTAATATGAAATCAATTTTGAAAATTTCTTTCTCTTATAATTCTAGGATTATCATGGTTCCAATGGTATGATGTATTGCGGTTAAACATGCCGTTAGAAAAATTACTTTCACGTGTCCATAAAATCATTTTTGGAAAGTTGGGATAATTATTTGTATTATTTAAGTACCAAAGACAAAACTGTATTCTTTCTTCAAAATTTTGAACCAAATTCACTTAAGAAAACAATTTATGTTTATGTAGAATTTTATATACAACGTACTCAGTTAAATTATCATTCCTAGCTAATTCTCGTATGGAAGTATTCGGATTTTCTTGCACACTTAATAGTAAATCTAATTCATGATTTTCATTGCAAGCATATCCTAAAGTAACTCTTTTCTTCTTTAGTGTTTCATATTTGCTTCAAGTTTACTAACTTCCTTCTGTTAGGGGAAATTCTATTAGGATAACGTCGATATAATAGTAAAGTTGCAAAACTGTTTTTTCTTCATTCATAATAAACCTGCATATTATCAACTTAGACGAAAACCTCGCATTCGTGGGAGAAATTTTCCGACTCGATTTTTTGGCATATTCAGATTCGTGAGATGTTCCTTAACATGAATCAAGTTGATGTCGGCCGGAAATCTGGTGCACATTTCTTTAAAGAAACTTTTTTTAAACAAATTGTAAAAATAGATTTTTTCACTCCGGAAAAATTTTGTTTAGATTTTTTGCCACATTATAAACAAAGAAGTTATAAACAATTTAAGTTGCTAAAGATGCGAAAATGACGATTTTTAACGGCCGATTTCCGGGTTAAAAATTGTTATTTTTTATGTTGCCAGGTGCCTAAATTAAAGTTCAAACATCCCCCTACAAGATTCCAAGAGCCCCATACAAGAACAAGTTTTTGTCCTACGGTTTTTTGTACATTTACATTGTTTAACTAAGTCTTTGGGTAATGGATCTTTGGAAATGATAATAACCTGAAGCCGCTAGATGAAATAACGAATCCGCGTATGAGAGGCGCGCGCGCGGCTCATACCGCTTTATTAACAATTAAAAAACAAGGCTTTAGAATAATGCGAGTCAGAAAAACTCATCAGCGTCTTGTAGGGGGATGTTTAGACTTTAATTTAGGTACCTGGCAACATAAAAAATAACAATTTTTAACCCGGAAATGGGCCCTTGAAAATCGTCATTTTCGCATTTTTAGCTACTTAAATTGTTTGTAACTTTAAAACTATCAATTTTAGAGACATAGTGCATAGGAACTTTTTTTGTTTATAATGTGCCAAAAACCCTTTTCCGGAGTGAAAAAATAAATTTTTACAATTTGTTTAAAAAAAGTTTGTTT